TATTCAAGAAGATAAATAACATTTTCTATTATTAATTCTAGATAATCATTTAGACAGAATAATTTATAATTTTATAATTTTAGTATAAATTTGAATTAAAAGAATTTGTTTATAAAACAAGTCTGAAATACACTTACGCTGCTAAATCGTTCCAAAGACAAATTCATGACTTTTCCGATTGTAATAGTTAATTGATTTTGCGACCTCATTATCATAAACAATATAATTCGACTGTCTTTGGGATTTGATTCGTACCAAAGAGAATCGTACGCAGCATCTCCAATGGTATTACTCTATTAAATAAAAAGATCTTGTTGCTTTTACAAACATAATTATAAACGTAATATTCTGTTTGTAAATGATATTTCTTCCAATATCTAACCTTAGCGCTTAAATATTCTCCGGCGAAACAAAATGCGAACGGCTCCATATTCATAGCGAGGTAAAATAAGAGAGTTCTGATTATACTCTTCGATGCTTCGGGTCGACCTATTGACTGGAAATTAAGAAACGTCCTAAGAAAGTAATGGAAAAGCAATAAAAATGATGAATAATTGAAAAAGAATGGATTACTCTCTTTTATTCGCTCTTTTATTCTGCAAGTTTAACAGCAATTTCTATAATATTATATATACTCTTCAGCGCATGGAATAAAACTCAAGTAGAATCAAAATCGCTCACCGCAACTATTACAAAACCCAAGCAACAGATAATTAAAGTGTTTAACACGAACAGCACTATTGCTATATATGAATACAGATCTTCGATTTGCTTCGAAAAGATGATGATTTTCTGATGTTTCTTTATTATCTTTTTTACCGTAAAATGATTCAAACTGCGTTTTTCTGCAAAAATTGTTATCAGCCCTTTGCAAAGAATATCGATTTGACCGCCTATATGCAATACCTAAAACGAAAATAGTCTTTCTTAATTATCCCACACAAAAATAGAAGTTAAATTTGCAAAGACTAATATTGTAAATGTTATATAATAATATAAATATTATGTAACATGCATTAAATTAAATGCATAATTTAATAAAATCCTTTTAAAATGCAAGAAGCAAAACAAACCAAAATGATTAATAAATTATTTTTAATAATGCAAACAAGATGCATAACAAGGTTAAAAATAATAATAATAATAATAAAATATTAAAAAAGAATTAATTTCTATAAAAAATAAAAATAGTAAGTAATTATATAAGATAATATAATAATATAATAATTTCAGATAAACCGAACTTACCAGATTTATGAGCAAAGCGTTCAATAGGCCGATTACGTCGGAGCACAATATCAAATGAAGAAATTGAACAATTAGAACTAACTCATATATGAATCTTTGGTTGGTGTCAAATGGTAACTCCATATCCAGAATGAGCATTTGCGTGGAAACGTTGGAAGCTGTGCCGTCATCCAGTCTTAAGAAGATTTTGCTGCTAAAAAGAACTACAGCCGTCGAATAAAAAATCACTATCGTGTTAGCGAAGCGATGTGACAGCTTGGCATTGTATGTTGTCACAAACATACTGAATTCCGTGGTGGAACACTTTTCCCAGTCAATCGCCATCATCGTCAATATCCTATTGAACGTTCTACGAACGGTTTTCATTAATTGATTATAAATTGTGATAGCGGTCGCAACAAAGCGCTGTGCAAACCATCCATGAAAAATTTATCATCATGCAATGACTTTATCGATGCGTGTCCACTCATTTTCCCATTGCGTATGTAATAATTAGTTTATTACATCAATTTATCTTCAATTTAACTTTACTGTATTATTCAATTTTGTTGTGCGCGATTGCCAAATAATTTGCTTTATCAAAGCGGTAATTGTTGAACTGAGATATAATACTAAATTTATAACAAACCTAATATCTCTAAACAATGCAATTAAATTGTAATACATATATTATAAATTTTTCACTGATAGTGCAGATCTCACAAATGTCGCTGCATATCTCACCGCTGTTTACACCAAAAAATGACGAGTTTAATTAACAATATCAAATACGCTATTGTTGCACTTAAAATGTTCATTATTTCGGAAAAGTCAATCAAATGGAATTGTTTTACGATATATCGATATTGAAAAACTTGCTCGATTAGGAGCGCGACGAACCAAAATAGTCTACGTAATAAAACACACGATACGTTTGGCCATATGCCAAAAATTCGAAGCCAGATTTCTATTGTGTAACTAATTGTATTCTTTACTTTCATATCTCCACCGTTATTATTTTTACACCGTTTTAACGCACCGATCCGAATAAGAGAATTTTAAACAGTGTTAAAAAAATATCTGGACGATAGTTGTGTACAATGTGATATTTCTATACTAAAAGCTTCTATAAACTGAAAGCTTCGGGGAGGATTCGAGAGAGCCGCCCCTCCTACGAACCACAACTTATTAAATATTTTGCTCGGAACGTGCACAAACTGCGGATGTTACTGTCGATAAAAAAAAAAAAGAAGTTTCCGGGTGACCGACCTTCTCCCTCTCGAATTCTCAGGCGAAATGGTAGTGTATTGCGCAGGGCGTTATTCTCTTTAAAAATTCAAGCAGTAGCAGATAGTAACACGCAAACATACACCGTGGACATTAAATTGTGTTTGGTGACCGTAAGAAAAGTTTCGTATTTCCGTAGATGGGGGAGAATTTTGAAGAGAAGAGAGAAAGAAGGAGGAAAGGTGAAGAAAGCAAAAGTTTCTTTTTCCGAGATTTTTCCCTCAATATCGAAAGATATTCTTCCCTGCGCGGCAAGTGCGGCAAGTATGCACGCGTTCGCAACTTATTCTTTTAAAAAATGTAAATCATACGATTTCGGATGAAACTCTGGTGTATGTCAGATACAGGCTGCGCGCAATAATCGTGAAAAAGTAAGCCGGAAACTCGAGAGACAGGGAAACGGAGTGCTGAGTGAAGTTTTATATTCCAGTAACAACGGCGTCCCTCGCACACGACAAACATAATATCAGTTCTAAAGATCATAACATGCAAAGAGCTTATGCTAATCTTTTAGGAAACATTGTCATCTTATACAAGTACATATATCTAACAAAAAGAAGATATAATTATATTAGAAATAAAAGTATAATATTTAAAATAATATAATAATGATTTATTTTTATAAAATAAAAATTGTTATATACTATAAGGACTTTTCTCATTTTATAATTTTATGCTATTATTTCATGCTATTTTGATGCTGTGACATCTACTATCGAGATTGAGCTTAATATTCAGTCGATGCCAATAGAACGGAAATATATGACGCCGACGCTTTTACAACCTACAATATTAATTGAATATTGGTAACGTATTATGTATGATATTAGATATTAACATTAATATTAATAATCAATTAATTATAAACAACTAGCTTTAAAAGTTAAATTTTTTATGTATCTTTAACTCTTCTAATAAAAAAACATTTTGCTTTATTAACTTTTTTAAAATATTAAAAAATAAATAATAGTGTAATATTAAAATATATTTTTTAAACTTGTAGAATCTATTAGAAGTAATGAAATTTATGTTGTAAAAAATCTTACGCTAGTAAAACGTTCCAAAGAGAGATCCATGATCTTCCCAACCGTAATAGTCAATCGTTTTTGCGATCTTAGGATTACGAGCAGCATAAGTCTGCTCTTTTCGCTCGTAACGTCATACCAAAGAGAATCATAAGCCGCATCTCCGATCATTTTACTCTATAAAAGAAAGATAAATCTTGGATGTTCATGTATAATTAAAACCGCCAGCATCGCAGGCTCCTCGGCGCTAACCTTAGCAGTCAAGTATTCACCGGCAAAACAATATATAAATGCTTCAAGATTCATTACAAGATAAAATAATACGGATCTTGTTAAGATCGCTGGTCCCTCGGGTGTACCGATTGACTGTAACATTAAATGCGTATTAATTTAAAAATGATCTATATTTATATATTATAATATACCGCTCAAATAGAATAAAAAGTCATATAAATGATATGTCAAAATAATATTATTTGATCATTTACATAATTTTTTGTTCTACTTGGGCAAAGAATCAAAGTAGTTCAATATCTATAATTTTTATCAACGTCAAATTGATCGAATTTGCAAAGTAACGTTTCACCGATGTTACTCACGGTGACGATAATAAATCCTAAACAGCATATAATGAGAGTATCCGACACGAATAAGATCAACGCGATGTACGTATAAAGGCTTTCGATGTTCTCCGAAAACGTGATAATCCGTTGATGCTTCGTTATCAATGTCTTCATCGTTATCCCATCCATATCATTTTTGATCATATTTTTGGAAAAAATGTTCAGTAGCCAGTCGCGAAGGATGTCAATTTGACCACCGATATGTAGTATCTAGGATTCACGCTTTAAGTGACAGAGTCGCGATAATTTTGCATCGCATCAAGTGACATTACGAACTCACCAGAGTGACGATGAGCGAATTTATCATGGAAATTCCACAGCCGCACATTACCAGATGAAGAAACTCGAAGATTGTAACGAGCACATAAGTGCGAGACGTGTCAATTTGGAAAGGCAGCTTCAACTTCAAGATATGTTCCCGCGCGGACACGTTCATCCTTTGAATATCACCAACGTTAACAGCAAGCACGCCGCAGCTGTACAGAACTATGGCAGTTAGTTGAAAGCCAATGATCCAGTTTGTGAAGCGATGCGAGAGCCTGGCCTTGTTGGTCGTGATATGCAAACTGCAGTCAGTCAAAATGCAGTTCTTCCAGTCCGCGACCATCATTTGCAATATGTCGGAGAACGTTCTATGAAGAATTCAATGCAATTAAGGAGAAGTGGTGTTTTACATCATTATCTCATTCAAGTATTACATATATACTTAGACTAAATTAATATATAATTATTATTTTATAATCATTGATAATTATTTTTATAATTATAAATATATATTTATTTATAATTATAAAAATAATTCATAATATATTTTTATAATTATTTTTTGTTTATAATTATTTTATGATTTTGTAATTATTAATATATATTAAGAATTAATTAAAATATAAAAATGACAGGATAATAATATTATTTATTCATCAAATCACATTATACATAAAATAGTACTAATAATAATTTTTGTAATCCCTTTGATACTCACATATTTTATATTTTTATTTTAATTAATTGTAATTGATGAATATTATATAATTTGCGACGAGGTATGTCTTACCGCTGATTCACCCATAAAATCCCGAGTTTGATGAACAGCAGACTGTATGTCATGGCACTACTCACACCATCCATAAAATTGGAAAAACTATCTGTGTAATAATGCACCGCTACGTAATGATACTGAAAAAATTGCACTGTGCTGAGCATGACGATCCAAAAGAATCTGTACAAAATGGTCGATGGTAGATAGGGCCAGATACCGCACACGCAAAGACCGATCTTTACCACACGACTAACCGTACTCATCTCCATGTTTCTCGAGAACAGGAAACGGGCCGAGGACGAGGATCGCTCGAGGTGTGCGTACGCTACAACTCTGCTGGAAAATCCGAGGAGGTGGAGCCAAACATAGCCCCGTGTCGCTAAAAATCCACCAATAGGAAAAACCATTCATTAAATATTCTTCTCGCCACGTATCGCAAACTTTGACAAACTCGGAACCACGTGCGACGATCTCATCACAACTTGTCAATATGAAAAATTGAGGGAATATCATATTTTTCCTTCGCAAAGTCGAGTTTTCCGACCACGGACAATGTGATCGCGTGTGTTTTCTTTAAAAATGCAACAGGCTTGGGAGTGCAGCTTCCCCAACACGCATGACGCAAAGTTGAAAAGTTTCGCCGCCGGGGATGTGTCGCGAGGGAGAAGGACAATAACAGATTGGAGCTACGCTTTGCTAAAACAGGCTGTATGCAAGGTTCATAATACTTGTATTACGAATAGTTGGCAAATTGGAAGAACGACGAAAACATTCATAGTGACATATGCCGGAATACACAGGGTGTTCCGCGAGACTTCTGCCACCGCTCGTAAAAAAATAGATGGGATCGAGATGACATAAAAGTCCCATATCATTTTGTGATATTCGCAATAATCGAGATATTAATTATTAAAAATCACCGTATTAGCCCGGCAAGCGCGCACGTAAGATACTCTCACCCGGCGATCATTGTTGATAGGTGAGGAATTGTTTACTTCAAGTGGCTCGTGTGTGGTTATTGCCGTATAGTAAAGAAATTCGTCGATTTTCAGTGTGATTTTTTTTTTGTAATCAAAGTACACATCAAAATATATTGCATCTATTTCATGTTACTTCATCAAATTAAACGTGATAAAAGTAGATAAATAAATTTAACATTACATAGCATAAAGAAAAAAACTACGCTTTGATTAAAAAAATAAACGTATCAAATGCAAGATTGTATGCAAAATTATGATAATTCAAGACTTGATGCAAGCTCAAAGTGTCAAGAGAAAGTAAAATTGCGAAAGTTTGTTTTTTTCGCATCATCTTTCTGCAAGAGATGAGCAAACAGAAAACTTCAGAAAATAAATGATAAAAAGATTCGAATTCGATATTCTTATTAATAATTTTGAAAAATAATTAATATTAGACAAAAAAAATGTCACGTAATTTTCTTTTTGATCTCATATTAATAATTATATATAATGTCTTTTCGTTATATAAAAAGATATATTAGTATCTTAATTATTTATAAAAAAATAGAATAATAACATTTTTTAAAACAAATTTCATATATTTTGTTACTAAATTCTATTGATACTATTGTTTTATATAATTATTATTGCTTTATATTATTATTTTCAAGTCATCGCCAACAGCACCGATATATACGATAACGATGCTTTTATTACCTAAAATTATTGCTTGTGATCTATATTATAAATATACAAAATATTTTTCATAAATATTATTTCTAGCGACACGTTGTGTCATTATTTATAACAAGATAACAAATTCCTATTTTTCGTTTTAATTGAAATTTAAATAAACGATAAAATAATATTTTAAAATTGAAATCTATAATAAAATTCTTAAAAATATTTGAGTTTTATGTTACAAAGATAAATAAATGCTCCAAAAATATTATAAAATAAATCTTACGCTGGTAAATCGATATAAAGAGAGGTCCATCATTTTTCCACTTGTGATCGTCAGTCTTTTCTGGGACCTTATAATGAGAAACAGTACAATCCTACTTTCTTTCGCTGGAAAATCATACCAGAGAGAATCGTACGCCGCATTTCCAATCATTTTGCTCTGAAAGAGAAAAAAAACGAAATGTTTGAAATGTTCTCAATTAATGAAGCTGTCATTTTTTTTCTGACCTTCGCACTTAAATATTCGCCAAAGAAACAGTATATGAACGCCTCGAGGTTCATCGTGATGTAGAATAATAAGGACTTCACTATAACCGCGGGTGCGTCAAGTGACTGAAATTTTCATGCACAGCTTAATAATCTAGTCTTATTTTAGTTACACATATACTTATTAATTTTTTTAGTTATACATATATTGTATTTTATCAAATTATCAAATATCATTTTCCACGTGTGTACTCACGGTGACAATAATAAATCCCAAGCAACATATAATAATCGTGTCTGATAAAAGCATCATCAACGCGATATACGTGTACATATTCTCGATATTTTCTGCAAATGCGATGATCTTCTGGTGCTTTATAATCATCGAGCGTATCGTAATTTCATCCGTCGCACCTATCGTGTCTTTCGAAAAGGCTTTTGTCAACCATTCTCGAAGAATATCAATTTGACCGCAAACGTGAAGTATCTAAGATTACATAGCTTGATGATCTCTCTTAGAAAGATAAAAGTCATTTTAAATCATTTTTTAAGGCATCAAAAAGAAATGTAAGAAAAAAGTAATGTGAGACAGACCATGAATAAAATTTAAAAAATTTATTCTAATTTTACAATAAGCACCCGAAAGTTTTTTCATTATAATTTAAACTAAATAATGCAGATAGTATAGATTTTACGAGGTCTTTCCTTGTGTTTCTATATAATTGTACAAATTATTTATATATAATATCATATAATTTATAAGATATTATTTAAAAATATTAAAATATATATATAATTTAATATATTGTCAACCGATTTATATGCAATTTGATTGTGAAAAGAAATTAAAAAAATAGAATCCCGTTTGTTTTAACTTATAATGGGCATATGTCGTACAATTTAAACTTACCAAAATGACAAGAAGTGAATTAATAATCGAAATGCCACCGCCGACTAAAAACAGGTGATAAAATTGAACAGATTGAACCGCTGTATAAATAGAATTTGTGCTAATGTTGAATGGTAGCTCCATTTTCAGAATGAGTTCACGTGCATACGGCTCCGATCTCTCGGGATTATTCGTATTAGAGGCGAGTACGCCAACACTGTATAAAGATACAGAGGCCACTTGCATGCCGACGATCCATCTCGAAGCGCGACGTGCAAGATTCGCCGTGTCCGCCATTACGCGCGAATTATAGCGATTCAAGATGTAATCCTGCCAGTCCGCAGACATCATTTGCAATAGATCGAAAAATATTCTATAGAACCATAGGTACACCGTTCCCGTTATTTTAAATGTCGTCTATCATAAAATTACATTAATTTTGAATTTGGCAAAAATGTCTTATTATCCTATTAGAAAGAATCAACAATAATTTATAATATGCAGTGTGTCCCGTAAGTCGAGTTCAATCGCTTAGGAGGTGATTGGAGAACAATCCCAAAAACAAGAAAAAAAATTGATATAAGCGTATATTCAGAAATGCTGTGTTTTCAAATTATCGCCATTTTTATGTTGAAATTTGAAATTGCTTTGCTTAATCACCTCCTGAGCGATTGAACTTGGCTTACAAGACATCCTGTATATTCGTGCGGATGTTTTCAATTTTTAGTCGAACCGATTGCATAAAATTAAAAAATTATATAATATCGATAATTTTATCGATAATTTCGAAATATGTATACTAAGAAGAGTAACATGATTTCCCTATTATTTCATAAATACATCTTACCGTTGATGGCTCCAAAGGATAACGAGTTTAATGTAGAGAAGCGAAGACGCCATTGCACTACTCACTCCGTCCATATATTGGGAAAAGTCGTCCATATGAATATTTACCACCACATATCGGTACTGAAAGACTTGAGCCATGCTCAGCATCATGATCCAGTATAATCTAAAGATTACAGTGGATGGCACATACGGCCAGATGCCATAAACGTGAAGCCCGATCCTAACCAGTCGGTTCAGAGTCGTCATTCCTGTATTTCTTTTCGACAACGATGGGAAACACCTCGCGGTGCATCGAGTCGAATAACTTTATTAAGACTAAAACTTATTCACGGGTCGACAGCCGAACATGACCCGTAACTCGTGTCATTGACCATTGAACAATCACTACTTATAAAATATATATTTCTACCATATTGTATGAAAAAAAAAGAGAAAAACTGTAATCATAACTTTATAAATAATGAACACGGGTGGTGGTACCCTCTACCTTTTCGAACTTTCGATGCACGATGCAATTGTATGCTATTTTTAAAAATGTAATACGCAAAGAAAGGAAAAGCGCGTCTTCCACGAACTACTCGCCGCAAGGTTGAAAAGTTTCCATGTTGGAGGTGCAACGCGAGGGAGGAGAACATATCGGGGGATATTTTCGTTGAAACGATCTTTGCACGATATGTAGTTCGTGTTATAGACAGTTTGATTTCACGACGAAAACAGTGATATACAGTGATGCCAGAATACTTGGTGAAGAAGTTCATCAGATTTAAGTGATTTTTTTTTAACAATTATGTGTTCTATCACGAAATATTATTATTCTGCTTTGTGTTATCTTATCAAATTTGAACTTGATAAAATTGGATAAAAATAAATTTAAAATTATAAACGAAAACGAAAAAAATATATTATAATATATTAAAACATAAATGTCAAGAAACAAAGTTGCTTTCGATCATATTAAGTCAAGACTTAAAAATACAAGACTAGAAGTGTCAGAAGAATAAAATTACAAATATTTATCTTTAATACCGTTTTTTAAATAAATAAAAAAATCATTAAAAATCATTAAAAAAGAGAATTAGATCTTGATATTTGTTTTATTAATGTCATGAATACTATCAGATGCAGAATAATATCAGATACAAAAATTAAACAAGAATTTTTATTATGTATTTTTCTCAATTATTAATAATTATAATATTAATTTTTGTGTAAGAAAAAGAGCAAATAATTGAATTATTTACAGTAATGACGTAAAAGAAGAATGAAATAACAGTAGTGTTTCAAGCAAACTTATATATTTTTTTCTATTACTAAATTTATTTATCACACTATTGCTTTAATTATTATTATAACTATTGTCACTTCTTTTTAGTACATCGCCAATAACACCGATATATACGATAATGATGCTTTTATTACCTAAAACATAATTGTTTATAATTCATATTAAAAAGATACGAAATTTTTAAAAATTCTTTTAATATAATAATAAAAAAATATAATTACATAATAATATAAAAAAAGATAATAAAACTCTTTATAATAGAATATAATATAACCATTATTCATTGATAATTTTTGCAATTATTAGTGTAATTATTATTATACTTTTGCAACTATTACTATATTATAGTTATTGTTAAAATTAATATGGAAAGATAAAAATAATAAATTTTATTATTATTTTATTATTTTAGCATTGTATTATTTAAATTATTATTATCTGATATATTTTGTTACGATCACATAAAAAGACATCAAACTTCTTTCAATATTAATTAGAATTTTTAGAAAATAATATTTATAACAGAATTTATAAAAAATATTTTTATGTCACAAAAAAACAAATATTAAAAAATCATTATAAAATGAATCTTACACTAGTAAATTGCTCCAAAGAAAGATCTACGATTTTTCCGCTAGTAATTGTCAATCTTTTCTGGGATCTCACAATGAGAAACAGTACAATTCTACTTTGTTTGGCTGGAAAATTATACCAAAGAGAATCGTATGCCGCATTTCCAATCATCTTGCTCTGAAAAATACAAAATACATTTGAGATGCCTACGAATTAATGAAGCTATTATTTTTCTCTCGATACCTTACCTTAGCGCTCAGATATTCGCCGGAAAAACAGTATATAAATGCTTCAAGATTTATTGTTATGTAAAATAACACGGACTTCACCAATATCGCTGCGGCATTAGGCGTGTCGAGTGACTAAAAATTACAATTTTCACGAACAATTTGTAGTTTAGTATGAATTAGTTTTCAATTTTTGTTATTTCCAGCCAGTTTCCAGTGTTAATAGTTATCGACAAATTTTTACCCGATATGCAAGATAAGTTACAAATTATCAAATATCGCTTTCCACATGTTACTCACTGTAACAATAATAAATCCTAAGCAGCATATGATGAGTGTGTCTGATAAGAGCATCATTAATGCGATGTACGTGTAAAGATTCTCGATATTTTCCGCAAATATAATAATACGTTGATGTTTTATGATCAATGATCGCATCGTGATTTCATCCATCGAACCTGCCATCTTTTTGGAAAAGATATTTGCCAGCCATTCTCGAAGAATGTCGATTTGACCGCAGATGTGGATTATCTAAGATTTATAGCTCGATGATCTTTCTTAGAAAGATAAAAAATTATTTTTTTAAGCCAGTTTTAAAAATATCGAGATACAATATAAGATATAATATAACAAATTTCTATGTAACAAGATATTATTAAAACATACACATAATATATATATATATATATATATATATAATATAATTAAATTAAATTAGTAA